TTCATATGCGGCCACGAGTAGTACTCACGTAGAGTCCGATACATCTTAGTACTACCCGGATGCATAGAGGAAGTAGAACAGTGAGCTTCTTCCATGATTTCTCGTCTCAAGTCTTCATCGTTCTTGGGTACACAAAGACGAGTTCCAACCACCAAAGCTCCATCCTTCCTTATTGCATAATCCGTCCGTGTACCATTTTCTACTTCCGACCTTATCACACAAAGATTAGGATCTCCCAATTGTGCTGCAATCACCCGCTCAACCAGAATAGGCCTCACCTGCACACTAGCAAGCATTCCTCCCCGAGGAGTCATTTTCAAATCCACACCATCTTTTCGCAGTTCTACCAATACGGAAGATAGGCCATTCTGAGATGAGCTAAACATCCACCAACATTCCTACTTAGTGCATCAACTACCACATTAGCTCGACCGGGATGATACTCAATCGTACAGTCATAATCTTTAATCAATTCCAGCTAACGCCGCTGTCTCATATTCAACTCCCTCTGAGTGAAAAAGTACCTAAGGCTCTTGTGATCAGTGAAAATCTGACACGTCTCACCATACAAGTAATGCCGCCAGATTTTAAGAGCGAACACCACTGCGGCAAGTTCCAAGTCATGGACAGGATAATTCTGCTCATGCTTCTTAAGATGCCTTGAAGCATAAGTAATTACCCGATCATGTTGCATCAGAACACATCCCAAGCCTTGTAAAGATGCGTCACTATAGATCACAAAGTGCCCCGAGTTATCCGGAAGAGCCAGAACAGGTGCGGTGGTTAACCGCTTCTTCAGCTCCTGAAAACTCTACTCGCACTCCTCCGTCCACTCAAACTTAACATCCTTCCTCGTTAACCGAGTAAGAGGTGTTGCTATCGAAGAAAACCCTTCTACAAATCGACGATAGTAACCCGCTAACCCCAGGAAACTCCGTATCTCTGTTACACTTGTGGGTTGCACCCAATTCACAACTGCTTCTACTTTGCGAGGGTCCACATAAATTCCTTCTGCTGATATAACATGTCCAAGGAATTCCACTCTATCCAACCAAAACTGACATTTACTAAACTTGGCATAAAGCTTCTTCCTTCTTAAAGTCTTCAATACTAATCGCAGATGTTTCTTATGACCCTCCAAAGTTCGAGAATAAACCAGAATATTGTCTATGAATACAATCACAAAGTGATCCAAATAAGGTCTGAACACTCTGTTCATGAGATCCATAAACGCTGCCGGTGCATTTGTCAATCCGAAAGGCATCACCAAGAACTCGTAATGACCATAACGAGTCCTAAATGCTGTCTTGGGAATATCATCTTCCCGTACTCTGAGCTGATGATATCCCGATCTCATCAATCTTGGAAAAGTACTTGGCACCCTTCAACTGATCAAACAAATCGTCAATTCGAGGTAAAGGATATCGATTACGCACTGTCACTTTATTCAATTGCCTGTAATCGATACAAAGCCTCATACTTCCATCCTTCTTCCTTACAAATAATACTGGTGCACCCCAAGGGGAAACACTAGGTCGAATGAACCCAAGATCCACCAACTCCTGCAATTGAGTCTTCAACTCACGCAATTCTGCTGGTGCCATTCAGTAAAGGGCTTGATGAATTGGATTCGTTCCTGGAAGAAGTTCAATAGTGAATTCAGTTTCTCTCTGGGGAGGCAAACCAGGAAGATCATCAGGAAAGACATCTGAAAATTCACAAACCACAGGAATATCTTCCAGATTCAGAGTGGATCTTTGAGTATCAATGATATGAGCTAAGTATCCCACACAGCCCTTCTTGAGTAACCTTTTTGCCCTTATGGCAGAAATAAAACAAGATGGGAGAATTCTATGTTCTCCATGGAATACTACTTCAGGTTGTCCAAGACTTCTAAACACAACTTCAGGTTGTCCATGACATCACCCACTTGGACATAACAATCCGTGAAAACCATGTCCGCAAACAGAACATCGCCCGTAGGCAACGAGATACTAAAATTCCCTGGCATGGGTGTCGGTCTAACACTGGCATAAGGTAAGAAACTATGAGCGATGAAGGAATGGGTGGCCCCGGGATCTATTAAAACACGAGCAAGGTAACCAAAAATAGGGATCATACCAGTGATAACATCGGGTGTCGCCTGCGCCTCCTGCTGTGTCATCGAGAATACCCGGGCTTGCGTAGTAGAGCGTCCAGACTGACCCCTCTGACCCCTACCGCCTCTGCGGTATGGAATTACACATAGGGACTCGACACCTTATCATCCCCAAACAAGTGGACAAATGGACATTAGTAACCAAGAAATGAAGCAAATCTTGGAGAAAACCGTGAGCCCTATGAGAAAGGATTGGAGTTTGAGACTTAATGAAGCATTATGGGCATATAGGACAGCTTACAAAACTCCCATTGGTATGTCTCCTTTTCGTTTGGTTTATGGTAAAGCATGTCACCTTCCGGTTGAGCTTGGACATGAGCATTTTGGGCAATCAAGAAATTCAATTTAGAAATGAAAGAGGCGGAGATGCAAGGCGACTCCAATTGAATGAATTGGATGAGATGAGGAATGATGCTTATGAGAGTGCACGGATTTACAAGGAAAAGACGAAGGCATTTCATGACAAAGCCATTCAAAGGAA